CTTCTATGGTAACTGTGGCCTCTGTCCGAGTCTGTCGGTCACATTTACTCCCTGGGTCACGGTTATTCTTTTTAGTCATTCTTTTTAGTACTTTCAAGTTTGAACGGCTTTTCCCTTCCCCCCCCCCTTTTTTTTCCCCCTTTTTTCTCCCTTTTTTTACCTTTTCCCCCCCTTTTTTTTCCCTTTTTTCCCCCTTTTTTTTCCTTTTTTCTTTCTATGGTAACTGTGGCCTCTGTCGGTCACATTTACTCCATCCCTGGGTCACAGTCATTATTTTTAGGACTTTCAATTTTCAACGGCTTTTCCATGGAAGAAGGCTTCCCAGGGTTCTAAGGAGGCACTGTTACCTGCTTAACCCTTGATTGCACCTGGTCAAAACAGGGTTTTGAAATGTACAGTACATTCACCTTCTGCTTCTACGGAACCTTATGGCACAGGACATAGCCATGTTCTTCTTTTTCCTTCTCCTTTCCGGGTTGCGAAAGAGATGGCAGCAGCACCTACCTCCTCACTTTGCTTTGCTTTCTCTCCTTCACCTAGCCTCTTCCCCTTCTAAGTGAATGGCATCCACCCCATAGCCTCTTCAAAGTCTTTCTTCATTGGCTATGGCCTCCCACTAGAGTCACTGCTTTCTCTCCCATACTCTCGTTAACGGAACAAGCATCGACTAAAACAGCTTGTGTGCTTACACAGTGCCCTTGTCCCCCCGCAGCATATCGGCAATATCTCACCCACAATGTTGAGATATTATAGAATGTGCGCGTACAGAGTGCCCAAGCAGTCACATTGTAATGACTGTAATGATTGTATCATCATCAGGACCTTCCTAATCCTATATCTCCCCTACTCATACTCCTCTTCCGCCTCGTGATTATCACTTCGCTTCGGGGTCTTTGTCCGGCTTCTCTCTGCTCACGCCTTCTTTGCGGGACTCCTGCTCCGACCCTCTCCGCCTTCTTCTCTGTTAATGTTCCATCTTCTTGATTTTCTTCCTTGGATGTCTTTGGCATAAAGAAGACAAAAATTCACAGCTGAAAAGCACGTAATGCCAAACTGCCCCACAGGAAATTGGAAGTACCAAAACTTCCAAAAGTCAGTTGCATAATGCATACACCGGCGTCTAGCCACAGTTTGACTGGGTCATATTCGGAGGGGAAACAGTGTGTCAGTGTGTCTCTGTGTGTGTGTGTGTGTGTGTGTGTGTNAGAGAGAGAGAGAGAGAGAGAGAGAGAGAGAGAGAGTAATACGTTTTAAGTATGGTATGATACTGTCAGATTTAAATGTAGGTCACACACACACACACACATAGAGAGTAATACGTTTTAATTATGGTATGATACTGTCAGGTTTAAATGTAGGTCACACACACACACACACACACACACACACACCTGTCTCTTATACACATCTAGATGTGTATAAGAGACAGGTATAGGGGGGTATAGAGGGTATAGGGGTGATATAGGGGGTATTGGGGGGGGTAATGAGGGTGTTGGGGGGGTGTATGGGGGTAAAGAGGGCCGCTATGGGGGTGTTGGTGGTGTTATTAGGGGTTCTGGACCCCCAATTTTTTTATTTTTTTATTTTTTTTTGCGGGGTGCCGATGACCCCCGACCGGTAGGTGCCGACCAGCTGATCGGTCGGCAGGTCGGCAGCCGACCAGTCAAAGGCCGCTGACCGTCGGGGGGTGCAACCCTGGATGAAGCAATGACGTGCAAAGTGTCAGCGGAGGAGTCAAATCATGATCTGACTACTTGACACACAGACCTCATCACACACGTAGAAGGGCAAGGAGGGCATACATACATTGGACGAAAGGGCCCTCCTTGCTCACACACACATGGGAAGAAGAACCATAGATGATGGAGGTGGAAGGTGAAATAGAAAAGAGGAATAGCTCGAGATGACTGACAGTAGTCCCTCCCAACGATACCCAACAATTGTCTCCACCAAAATGTCGAGTCTGAATTCCGTGCGTCCAAATGCCCGAAATAGTCAATTCCCGAACTCTCTCTCTCTCTCTCTGGTCTGCAAGTGACGCAATGCCAACGCACGGACGCACACATGCGCATCCACATCCACATTCACCCGCTGTGCACGGGCATTGACGCGCACACGTACACACTCACACGCACATCCTTGAACATGTAGTGCACATGCACATGCAAGAGAGAGAGAGAGAGAGAGAGAGAGAGAGAGAGAGAGAGAGAGAGAGAGAGAGAGAGAGAGAGAGAGAGAGAGAGATCACTTTGACTGTCATCTGTCTCCCCCGACCTGCTGGAATGCCTTGTGATCACTGGACTTGTCAGTGTTGTCACAATGTTGGTCGATCTTTCTTTCTGTCTCTAATGCTCCCTATATCATTTTGTCTGTCTGTGTCTGTTTGCGTAGTTGCTGGAAACAGATTGGGAAGGAGATCGTCAGATTGGCGCTGCTCTGTTGGACAGTGTATTGAATTGGCAGCTGTTCCGTGTGCGAATCTGGCTTCGAGGAGGTGATGGATCATCTGGCATGCATAGCGTGTGGCCAGTCCATTGCACAGCCGTATCCCACGTTGGTGGGGGTTACCAAAGATAGAGGGCTCCGGCGTGCATCAGGAGGGCCCCTGCAGCCATCCAGGTGCTCAGGTGTGCTGTCATTGGGTGGACGAGTGACGCAAAGGCAGCGAGCTGCTGCTGCCGACCTGAAGGGGGTTGAGAGTTCAAGTCTTTCCAAGCATGGAACTCATGGCACCATTGAGGCCCGGAGATCATTGCCACCACCCTTAAGCGCTTCTGTCTCTGTCAAAGACGACTTCCCTTCCTCCTCCTCCTCCTCCTCCTCCTCCTCCTCCTCCTCCTCCTCCGCCGCCGCCGCCGCCTCCGTCTCCGCCTCCGTCTCCGCCTCCGTCTCCGCCTCCGTCTCCGCCTCCCTCTCTTCATCTTCCACGGCACGTTCGTTTCATTCGAGGCCTGTTTGCTGTCGTGCTCGTGTAGATCGACCTGGCGACATGGTTGCCACTGAATCCTTCCCTATGTGTGCAATGAAGCGCCCAGTTGATCGGGGAATTCGCCGGACTGCGGCTTTCTTGACGATGCGGCTACTAGAAGAACGAGGAGTGCTCAGTAGAGCGCCCACGCATAGATGTGGCGTTTATCATCAAACCGCTGACCAGGGGGCTGTAGTCGGCAGGACAGAGAGGAGATATGCGGCCCCGGGAGGAGGTAGTGTCGTGAAGGAAGAGCGACGTCCCACTCTCATAAGAAAGAGCAGAAGGCCAAATCTGCGGGTTAGCGTGAAAGACAGAGAAGAGTAAGTGGTGGTTCATTGAGATCCTTGTCTTGACCTTGTCCAGCCTGTCTGTTTCTGCTTCTGCGATCGTCTATCACCATTACAGATTCCGTTTTTTTTTTTTTTTTTTTTTTTTTTTTTTTTTTTTTGGTGTGTGTGTGTGTGTGTGTGTGTGTGTTTGGTTTGTGGATTAAGATCCGGGACGGTCAACATTTTTTTTTAATTTATGGCAGGCAAACTTACTTACACTGGATCAGTCAAACATATCAGCTGATGGCGGTGAGGACTTCCGACTTCCGACTTTGGAATAAGTTTGTTGCCAAATTGTCGGTCTTAAAATCTGACAAGATCTTGTATTGCACTGGATCCTCCTCGCGCTGCTCATCGTAATTCTGCTTTTGCTGAGTTGTTCTCAATTGTCGTTATTATCCTCGTCTCTCCCTCTCTCTCTCTCTGGCCTGCCTCCTGTCCTCTCTCCCTTTGTGTGTTCGGTCTCACGCGAGCGTTGCCTTTGTCCTGCATCACTAGATTAGTGAAAATTGCTATCATGTGCGGGCGGGTACCAACCAGGCCTCTGCGCCGTTCGATTTTGCAATGCCGAACGGCCTGGATGCGATGCAGATTGTTTTCCAGGCCGATCAACGAGCAATCCAGGCTGTTGGAAATACATTATGTTAATCAGGTTGGAAAAAGATGAGCTTGTGATCTGGACCATGCATGTGCAGTTTAGTGGGGACCGGTACCTCGCGCACACTGGTCTGGGTTCGGAGGGTGATGCATGCCTAGCATCAGGTAGGCAGTGCGCAGACCCAGCAGATCCCCAACGTGAGTGAAAGACTCGGAATTGGCAATGTGATTCAAAGATCAAGCCAGGGTTGCATCCCTGCCGACCGCCGACCGCCGACCATGACCGCCGACAGTATTGCGGCCGACCAGTAGGGCCGACCAGTCGGCAGTCTGGCGACCAGTCAGAACACAACCATCCACTGATTTGTTTCCAAATCTGAGTTGGGGGCTCTACTGCGCTTGCTGAGTACAGCCCAAATCCACTGAGAAACTTTTGGGGATGGGGGGGGGTTATGGG